AAGAGACAAACATATGCATACTCAAATGTAGAATATTGTCTACTGAATGCACACATGTGGACAAAGGACGTCCACACCACACTGAGAGAAATGGACACAATGCAAGTGACAAAATGAAAACACACAGACACAAACACACACACACACACACACACACTATGTTGCCTGTTGATTGATGTTTTTTCTCTTTTGGCCTTTGGCTAGGTTTGTACTGTCATAATGTTTAGTACATTTAGAAAATCTCTTTTGCAGTTATGGTTCTCAAGTGCTCCTCTCCCAAACCCCAAAAGAATGTTTGTGTGTCATTTTGCCAAATTTGAGAGAAGTCCCTATGATAATTTTGCCTAATTGGATAGAGCGACAACCAGTGTGCATGAGGTGTAGACTCAATGACGGGTAAGATTCTCCTTTGGCCAGAGGGGGGCAACCTAAGGCAGGGCTTCACCGCCACTGGGCACCTACCCAAACCACCTCAGACAAAAGGGGTGTCAGAACTTAATTAACGTACAGACCACAGCTGTAACAACAGGAGCAACTTCCTTTATATTGAGGGTAAACTCTAAGTGTATAAAATGTTTGAGCTTAGGATGTTCGGGGTTCATTCTGACTCCGTTGAACACAAGGTACTACATGTTCTTTGTTACTGATATGCTGCAATAAACATCTTCATCGTCCTCATCATTTTTCTTACACACTGATATCCCTTAAAGGTGAGTTGAGTTGTTTCATATTCTGTATTTGTGGGATTTATTTGAGAGGCTTGTGAATGTTATATGTTGTGTTTGAAGCTCAGCTTCTGCAGTAAAACTGTCTGAGGAGTGATCAGACACACTTTTTAACACTAAAACGGGTCTTTGGACATTTTGTCTCTGTTCCACGTATTCTTTTCAGCATGAGATTTGCAAGTGAAAGCTGCTACTGCTGCTACAGTCTGATTCATTTCTGCACTGCTCATTGCTCATAAATGACTTTGTCTTGCAACTGATGTTGTAAGCTGTGCAAAAGTTGGCATAATTTATGGCACCATGTTTGCTGGGAGTTGTCACTGTGTTTCTAAATTCTTTATAGTGAGAGGAAGGAGTTCACAAAAAACAATTAATGTTCAGCATTAATCAAATTCAGCTTTTATCAAATGCTCACATTAGTTGAATGCCTTCCCTGCTGTGAGAACAGCTGCCTGGGTAGCCCTCTGAATTTAACAAAGATGTCATGTAAAAAGTGTCATTTTTAGCTAAGTGGTAAGAGAAATATGAGATGTAATTTTTGTACTATTGTTTATATACCATTTTTCACTGATGTGTGATCATCGTTGTGGTCTGTGGCTTATGCATGTCGAACTTTGCTCTGTGGAGTTTAAATTAAACAAATACATTAAAAAATCCCTGGTTTGATCCTTCGGACCAAAACACCGCATTAGACCAGATCACCTTAGATGAGTTAGTTGCATCTGTCCTTTGTTTCCTTCATCCAGTCAGATATGTAATATGCTGAAAAGCACATTGACCCTAAAAGTGACATCATCGTTGTACAGGAAGTTCCGCTCCACCATTTTTTCTGATATTCAATACATCCATTTAGTCCTTACAGTGATATATTACACATATCGGAAAATTCACAGCATGGAAAAAACACATCAGCCCTCCAGCCCTCCAGCCCCCCAACACAACTAAATCATCTTTCCTAAGAAAGTGTGGATAAGGGTCACACTGAGTTTGAGAATGGTTTGAATGGACAGCTGTTGTCCAATGTTGTGTTTTCTTTCTGTGTCGCCTAACTAGTAACTAGGGCTTGTCTACAGGGTGCTTGTCTTCATGATTACCTCATTTCTATAGTCAGTCACACTGTAATCATCCTGGAAATAAAGGTATGCGTGTTAGTGTGAGTTTGCAAGTGTTTTTGTATGTGAAGTCACGATATAATATTATATAATATATACATATATTTGTATCATTAATAATATATTATTATTAATAATTGTTTGTTTATCTATTAAAATAATTAATTATTTATGATTTTTGATTATTTATCCAATAATAATTATTTACATTAGATGAATAGATGAAGTAGAATATAAACAAACAATATAAACAAATATAGAATTAAATAAATATATTATTATTAATAAAATGATTAATACAATAATAAAAATTATTATTATTACTACTGCTACTACTTCTACTACCACTAATGTATTTATTTATTTATTTATTTATTTCTGTGCTGTAAATGATCATTATTGTTAACTACATTATAATAATAATAATGTTACTTATATATCATTTGTATTAGTAAGGTTATTATTAATAATAATTATTAGGTAACAATTTAGCATAGGGACCAATTCTCACTGTTAACTAGTTGCTTAATAGCATGCCTATTACTATATTGGCTGTTTATTAGTACTTATAAAGCAAATATTCTGCATGACCATATTCTACATCCCTAATCCTACCCAATACCTAAACTTAACAACTACCTCACTAAATATTAATAAGCAGAACATTAGGAGATTACTGAGGCAAAAGTCGTAGTTGATGGTTTGTTAATAGCGAGAATTGGACCTTAAAATAAAGTGTGACCCATTATTATTTGTTTGTTTATCTAATAAAATTATTATTATTTATTTATATATTTATCTTTACATATTTATTTATATAAGGATCTGCTCTATCTGTCTGTCTGGATCCTTAAATTAAGAGCTTTGTTCAAGGGCGCAATGCCTTGCTTCTTGAGGGTAAACCTCCAGTTAGCCTTAACCACTACACCACAACACCACAGCACCCACAAGTATGTTTCTCTGGGTTAATATAGTCAGTTCTCTGCTTCTCTAATGATGTCCATTAGGTTGGTTGTCAAATCTCATTGGATTTTTCTTTACTCTCACAGTAAACCACAACTATTCAAAGAAGTTTAACAAGCATTAAAACAAACTGTAATATTAACGTAGCATTTTGCAAATGTTATTGACGGATATATAGTTAGATCACGTTTAATCAGAAGTTTGGTCATGTAATGATGTGCACTCACTCCTAAAACCCTGTTTAAACCTGGTATGAACATCTGTCTTGGTTGATCCGATCACAAACCCTGTATCCTACATCAAAACAGTATGTTCAGTTATTATGGAAACATGGAAGTTGTTTATTTATAGTGTTTAATATTATTTTAAATCAGTGATCACCCAAAAAAACCTTTTGAGGGCCACGTGTGAACACTCTTTGCCTTGCTCTCCTCCATGCAGTTCTGTAATTACTTTGGGGAGCCTCCTCTTCCATTGTCAGTCAACTGTGATTGAATGATTGAGGTTGGACAGAACGTGGGGGCCTGGACATTCCTATCATTCTCTGCCCAGGAGTTGAGCCTATCACTGACCCTCAGGGACTCTGCATTACAATGAGCATGGTAAACTCCCTTAAAACATTACCTGCAGACTTCACCAGTACTCATGAGAAGGAGTTATAATGTATAGCATGCCCTGTTGTTGCCACATTCGTGCTGAACATTCACATTCATATTCAGATAATTGTGTGAAAGGTGTGACGTTTTGATGTTGCACCATCAATGTATGGCAAATTAGTTCTTTCACGGTTTCATAGGGAACATTAGGTAGTTAAATGTAATAGAAATGGATTGGTCACTGTAAACACAGATAAAACTGAACATTTCCTGCTCTCAACAAGCTGCAGAAAGCTGTGCGTACTTTCATATCTATAACAAGAAAAAAGCAGGTGGGGTATGCCATAAAGAAAACATGCATTAAACAGAAGCAGCACTGAGTTTGAGCTTCTCTCTGCCCTTATAGGTGTGTGAGGATCTTATAATGACCTGAGTCAGAGTGAACACTAGGCTACTGTCTGTTCGGATACAGCTCCTCCCTCCAACCCAACAGTCCAATCTGATTGGTTCAAAAAATGGACTCTCTGTGATGTCACACACTGCTTTATGTCATGGTACCAAAGAAAACATCCACAAATACATATGGCTGCAAGCCAAAGATAACTCAACTACCAAAATATTTGGCAAGATCTTGCTTTGGTGTGGAGGTGACCATGTTGCTGGGGTCTAGTTACCTGTGTGACTGGTAAAGGGTTCATCTCATGGCACATTATTTAAGTGAAGTAGTTTGTTCAAAGCAAAGGGCAGTGCTTACACTGGATATTGGGAGGAATTTACTGTAACTGTACAGTGGGTGGATGCATTAGCTACTTGTTTCCATTTCAGTTCATGCTTGAATTTTCCTGTGTTCTTTTTAAATGTATATTTACTATGTACAGTGGCCCCAAAAAGTAGCTGGACACTTTTTATTGTAATTTAATGTATAAATGTCTTTGTATCATTTAACAACACATCAAATGAAGTGGCTTTTATTTTATTATTCATTTATTTATTTATTTATTATTTTTTTAAATGAGCGCAAAAGTACACTTTCAGCACTTTACAAACAGTGTCCGGTTGCATAAAATGCTTAGACTAGTTTTACAACTACTTCTTTTTTTTTTCTTTAAGACTGGCCATAACTTTTTTTTAAAGTCAATTACATAAAAACAGAACTTGGTCTAATTTAAATCTAAAAATAAAACTGATTTCAAAGATAAAAGTATTTAGAAAATGTTCTTGTTGTCAGACATTAATGGATCATGTTGATAATTAATGTAATGATATATGCCATGGTTACTCTGTTATCTGTGTGAACTTCATACTTCCACTAAAAATCACCTTGAGACCAGTTACTTCATACCAGTCATTGCAAAAAATGTTCGGAAAATGTAGTAGATGTAAGAGAAAAATCTACCATGTGTTTGCAAATGGTGGTTTGCTATCTATGCAATAACATTTAGACATTTTAAAGACATCATTTAGCCAGATTTCTATAAAGATACCCCTTTTTGTATATTCAGTACCACACAAGCAGACAATGCCCACTGTTTGCTTTCCTGGGCTGCAACTATTGGGTTTCTGCTTTCAAACGGTTGGAGATGAAGATGTAAACAACTAATCAGACAACAGGCCACAAAATATTGTCTGACATCAAGTACACTACTGCTCTTGAGTAACAGCCCATGGAGTCACTAAAAAAAGCAGACGAGTGCAGACTTTACTGAAAAGCCTCTGGAGTGTGATTTTGATTTAATGTGGCTAAGCACTGGTTTTGTTCACCCACGAAGCCTCCTTCATTTTGCTAATTGATTACTGAAGCCCGGCTATTGTCAGCTCCTGTTCTCTCACTAGTGCTGATGCTAATCCCTCAGTTGGCTACTAAAGCCCTCACATGCACTCACGAGTCACGACCAATCAGTCGACACAACAGACCACCACACAGATACTAGAGCCACAGAGAAATATGAGTATTTCAACACTTTACAAAGAAATACTGTATGTTTTGATTTGAAATGAGCAACATCTGTTGTTAGCATGTTGGCTAATTGCTTTGTTTTTGTGTAGTTTCAGTGTTAGATTTTTCACTGTGGTACTGTAACTCACCACAAGGGAGAGCTGGATGATCACTGTTTGTAAAATCACACACATGCTAGTCAGCTAGACTGTTGAAAGGGTTACATTTTTATTCTATTTACAGAACCATCACAAAATGTGATTTTAGAATCAGTAGTTACATTCTCCAAATTTTTGTATTATTTTATTATTAATAATCACAATGCCTATGTATCACAATAAGCGCTTCGAGAGGTTGAATTATGCTCTAATTGACTATTACAATATATTTTCTCTGTATAATACTGGCTTTTTCAGTAAGAGAAACATAATGCAAATATGGTGTAGCTTTTAATTTGTGTCTAGCTCTTAATTCAGGCTCTGGCATTTAGAGGACAGTAGCCTACTGTCTAATTGCACCATTAGGCATAATGCCCTTGAGTGGAGGCCATGGCTGCTAATTGAGACTTTTCTATAGACAAGAAATCCACAGTATTGCACAACTGATGGCTTTTGACAATAAACCAATTACTGAATGTTGCTGGGGTACAGAAAAGGGAGTAGTGTGGTCGGTTGGATGGGAACATCATCTCTCCTGTCCTGCTTAAACCTTTGGGCCTCAAAGATCTCCTGAACCTAAAATAAAGGCTAACAGTTTGAGTTCCTTCTTGTTCACATAAGACTCTATGGCAAGTTGACCCTCTGCCTTATAATTGAGTTATAATTGCAAGCACCCAGAGTCAGGATTGGACACAGCAGGACATAAAGTGCTTATTGGGATAAAAGAAGCAGGATATATTCAGTGGATTTAAAGGCCAAAGGGCATTGACAGCAAGTAACTGTCGTCTACTCTTTATTGATTTAGATATAAAAGTGAGTTTTTTGGACAAGTTTTGAATAAGATGTTTATATATATATATATA